AGGAAATACAGAGCCTGGAGCGGAAAGATGAGAGGGAGATCCAGGAGACAGAAAAGAAGTTTGAAAAGGAGTATAAACTGCTGGACAACCTGCAAAATTACAAAGAAATACAACTGAAAGAGGAACTTGAACAAAAAGAGAAACAGCTCAAAGAAATTGAAGATTTAAAAAACAGACAGGAACAAGAATTAAAAAAGATGAAAGAAAAATACAAGAACAGGTGTCTGATCACCTGAGAGTGTTATCAGTTTATCAGTTTCAGATCCTGGCGGTGAAGTAGATGACAGACTGTCTTTTTTCTACTGTAAATCTTAAACCTGTCTAATAGTGCGTCAGTCCTAATACTTCTAACCATAGCTGCTGTTCCTAGCTCCTACTGTATGCCTTCAACTGTCCAGAGCAGGAATTGACCTCTGGACTGCTTTCCTGAATCCAGATGGCCTCTAGCTTTACAGACACCATTATGTGACAGGATGCTAGTCAATTTAGGACTACAGCCTTTAGAAAATAAAAATGGGAACAGGGGGAATCGTATTGCTCCTAGAAGCAGCTGAATGTCAGGAGTTTTCTATGCTAAATTAGTTAGTTATAGGAAGCCCCTTGCTTCCTCTTCTTCGCTCCTTCCATACTGCCAGCAATATTTGGACAGTACCTTTTAAGGTCACCGTCCACCATGGCTTAAGTGTCTTTCCTGGTATTTGGATTTAGCCTCTGATAAAATAGTAATGGCCGTCTTCTATCCACAAACATTTTCTCTTCCATCTCATCCTCTCCCATCTTTTCTTTGGTTAATATGAAGCAAAGGTTTCTGCTTTAATCTATGACAAAAGCAGCCTAACCCTAACAGCCTGAAGCATTTGATCCTTCCTTTGGTCTTGTAGCAACTAGCCCAGCAGACCCTTGTTTGGAGAAATGCGTTCATCTGTACATAGTTATGACCTAGCAGTTAATGCAGCCTAGTTTTTAGTAAACCACTTCCTGGTTGCAAACCCCTTCCAACTCCAGACTGACCAGGAGAATGTGGAGGTGATCTGATTTTCCTAGGTCGTTCAAAAATATTTTTTACAACTATATTTCAGAACTGATTTAGATGCTTGTGCATAGATGCTCCATTTAAGTAATTTCTTTTTAGTAGTTTGTGTGTCTTCTAACTAGGTGAAGAGTATATTGAAATGGAATAGCTTGATTGTAAAGATGAACTTTTGTGTTTTAATAAATTCAACCATATACAAGTGTGTTTGTGCTTATTTTTACATGAAAATATGTATTTCACTGATAAATGGTAGTTGTAGGACTTTTTAGATTACAGTGGGATTGTTAAAGGGACTGAGTAATGTGCAGCAAGACTACTTTGAAATGTTCTGCTAGACTTTTCAGAGCAGGAAAGCTCTGTGCTGTGAAGCAACATAGATTATTTTTCTCCAGGAATGTCAGAGTTTAGAAGATAGAGGTGTCAAAGAACCCCCTGCGTTTGCTGACTAATTATCTGTGTTATGTTTTTTTGTTGTTGTTAAAAAATACAATTTCTGCTAAATATTTAGTTTCTGTGGTAAAAATATCTGAGAGAAGTTGACATGAAATAGTTTAGAAAAGTGCTGAAATCAGTCTGTAGACATTGCAAATTAATGCAGTTTTAAAGCGTCAAATCCGGCCAAAGGAGTGCCACAATTTAAAAGTTAAATAGATAATTACAGTACAATAATTAAGTATTTTGATGTGTCATTTTTCAATAAACATTTATTATTGATTATATCGGTCTCAGATAAACCTAGTGAAATTATTTTGTAGAGCAAATATAATATTTTATGATTTAATAATTATTACATGCTTCAATCTTATTGGTTACTTCTCACTGAGCAAGATAGGACAACTTTTTCCTTTATCTTATTGCAAATTTAATATTATCAAAGGAAATGGTGGATATAACTTCAAAAAGGTTCTGCAATTTATCCACTTTGGGTGGATAATTCCAGCCTCTTTATCCTTAGTTTGTTCGAAATGTATCTAATAAGGTTACTAGAGTCTTTTGTGGTTGGAGCTACCAGAGACATCAGTAAAATCAAAGTTATCCCGGCCCGATAACAAACCCCAGATCACACTCTCTTATTTACTTTTTAGAGGTAAAACTAAGCATATAGAGGCTGGAGTTGCTCACAAAATGTGATGTAAATAAATGGCAACATGTGTTATAAATGTATACTAGCAAAGATTTTGACATTAGAGTAAAATAAAACCAGTAAGAAATGTTCTTATCGTGTTCAGTGAGAAACAGCCAATCAGGTGTCAGGCTTTCTATTGACGTGGCCTAAGTCCCGCCTGTTTAACTTTGATGGATGTGAGACAGTTGCAATTAATTTATGGTGTGCAAGAACATGAAATAATTAGTTAAACCATTAAGTAATTATGTTCACTTCTTTAGAAATATATATATATATATATATATATATATATATATATATATATATATATAAATATTTAATTGAAGTCTATGTAACTTAATATGTATTGATTAAATAAATTCAGTATCTATTTCCAACGTTTGTCACCCTCCATAATATACAGGTTGGTGGATAATTATGATTTTTTTTTTTCTCCCTCTATAGCCCAAACCAAAGGATTTGATCCCATTTAATACTAGGAAACTCATAATTGGTTAAAAAATAAATAATCTATAAGCAAATAGTCTTTCAAAGAGAATAAAGTAATATAGTTGTGGATCTCCATCATGTTTTATGGACAGATGGTGTCTTCTATTAACACTAACAGCTTTTACCAAAGTCTTGAAAAGAGGAGGATAAAAAAGACTGATGGATGGAGATAATAGTTACCAATTTTCCTCAATCAGTAGCAAAATGAATCAAATGACTGTTACCTTCTCCCATTTGTCTGGTTTAGCCCTGAACTCAGATCCATGATCACATTTATCTTCTAGTTTGTGTTTATCACAGCCTCATATTGCAGACCAGTACTCTGTCACCAGCCTTCAGGCATGATGGTTTTAAACACTGGTCGAAGTGAGTTTGATTCCACTCTGCAACTTTCGTCGCATTTTTGGAAGGAAAATTGGTAGCTGTCTTTCAATCTGGCATGCGGATCCTCCACAAACCACCAATGTACCATCTTCAGGTTCAGGTTAAACAAATCCTGGAGCTTTAAATCCCTGGGCTTTTTAGTGGATAGGGGTTATGTCAGGATTTATCCATTTATTCTCCATCATATAGCAGCATTGTTCTTCTCCAAGAAGACACATTGGGAACAACAGAATGATTGCCTGCTCCAGAACCACTGGCCACACTTCCCTTGTTCCCTCCAACATTAGTTAAGGCTAGGCCTCTAAGATGTAACTTTTAAATCCCCTTTGTCTGGTTCGATCTGTAATTGTTTTCTTCATAACTGTTGGCTAAAATTTGTGACTGCTATAGTTTTTTTTTTAAATGTGAAATTGTTTTCAGTTGATCTTTCCATTACCTTTAGAGTAAAAAGTCTCAGCTTAATTGAGATCTAATGATAAAAGGCTTCTTGATTATCTATCAATTACCTTGATTTTTCTACCATAATGTCCAGACGATGGAGCTAAAACATTAGCTTACAATAAAACAATGAGGATTCTTTACAGTGGTTTCCCCATAAAATTTCAAAATGGTTTATTATTTAGTTGACAGTTCTGTAACATATAATACTGTAATGATCTCAGAATGTAGGACCCAGAATTCAAGGTGAGACAGGCAGTGGGAAAGTTCAAAGCGTTTATTAACAGACAGGTGCGTGGGACTG